TTTTGTCGCTCACAAGATACTGCAACTTGTCTCTAACAAATCTAATCTATATTTTAAAAATCATTACAAGGTCTACAAAATTGGAAAAATAAGTCAATCCAGTCAAATAATTATAAAATTAACTACAATTTTTAAAAAAAGGAAAAGTTAAGAATATTGGTATAGCGATTACAAAGCTTATTTTGTAAGCAGACATATGTGAATTATATCATGTACCTATTTGAAAATTTAAATCACTTATTCAGTGTGACATCATTATTGATTCCAATCAACAGATTAAATTGCACAAATTAACCACCAGCTCTCTTACTACACTATACTCCTGACATGTTGATTATGCGTCAGTCATAATATGGTTAATTTAAACACGATAAGATAAGTTATTTGTTGAAGTTGCAAGTGAACGCACAGTTTTATGAAACTAAATGCACTTTTATAAATCAATAAACATATATTCTTAATTTTACAACACAATCGTAAAATATGTTTCAATCATGATTCAATTGAAGTTACAGCACACTGCAATATTAAAAACAAGTTTTCAATTCGTTCCGAATGTATAATTAAACAATTTTATTGCATGTGAGTAAATGAGATTTAAAAATGCAATTAAACGTTAGTTGAAACTTTTAGTTGTAAATTCCAAATAATTATGGGTTATAAACGTTATACTAAAGAACTGTGTTGTTCTAACAAATCTCTTTAAAATTATGTATAATGGGTATATTCTTGGTTACACATCTTACGGCAAGGACACATATTTTGTTCAAAAGTATAGAAGTTATTCTTGGTCAGATGTTCTATATTACATTACATTACAAAACATGGGGTTTTGTAATGTAATATAGAACATTTAACAAATTAAGCAAATCAAAATAATAGGCATTGCACTTATATATAAAATATGTTTGAGTAAATGCTATTGACATTTTTAGTATTTGGAGGTAAGGTTTGACCAGTTGACAGCATCAAAAAGTTTATTAAATGCTAGTATAAATATCATAGATATGCTACATAACTACATGAACTGCTAGTCGAGCACAAAAGATAGAAAAAAACTATGACTGGGTGAACGAGCGTTGCCGACAATCGCGGAACACTCCCGAATGATGATATATCATATGCATAGACCTTATAATATATAAACTGTAATATAATCCATAATATATAATATATATTTTAACAGGTGGATTCGATTTTATGTACAACTATTTTATAGTAAAATATTTTCAATATCAATATTCTTACGAAATTGCCAGTCCACATAATTACTATTATATTATTGCAACAAAACTATCACAAATAATATTTGAATTACAATAACTATTATGATATATAATATATAATATAAAATGTAATATCCACTATTGTTTACGCAAATCGAGCATAGAATATTTACTTTTAAGCTAAGCACGTGACATATGGCATTTAATCAATCGGGAGTGTTCGACGATTATCAGCAACGCTCGTTCACCTAGTGACTACAGTCCCCTTCTATCTTTTGACTCTTTATAAAATGGAAAATGTTACCAACATCTTGCGTATTGATGTTGACACCAAGAAAACATCACTTATCAAACTAAAATAGGAGCACCTAGATTACCAAATCTTCAACATATTCTTAATTAAAACATTGTTATCACAGGAGACTGACAGCATTCCATAGCTATGTTAATTGAGAATAGGCCCATGAATAAATGTTTTAGTGACACAAGGTGGCGGTACATAATGTCGATTAAAACTTCAATAATATTCACTAATGTTAACTGGAAGTAAAAACGTTGCCAACAAAAAAAGCTTTCAAAAAACTGATACAATTGCACTGGAAAAACAAATTGAACTTCTTGACATATAAAATCAAGTAAAAATGCTGGAGATTATTCAGCTTTGGCTGCATATTCACCAGAAACAAGAAGGTCGTGCGTCTTATAAATGAGGCGCGATCTACTTCGACAATGAGATTTGCCAATTCCAGTAAATAGAGTAAAGAATTAATAATGGATCATCATTCGGAGTAAGGGATCCATATACTTTATCGAGGATACATCAAGATGGACTCCAACTGGACATAAACAAATTAAGGGACTACAAAAGTACATTACTCTTAAAAAATCATAAAAATAAAAATGAGTCTACTTAAATATCAACTAGATTGAATTAAAACAAAAACCATTTAGAAAATCACAGGTATTTTTCAGAAAATATGGAGATCAACATCGTCAGTCGGTGATGTCAATATAAAACGAAATATAATTTTACTTGTAACATAATTGACTAGTTTGGGTACCATGATAAATCTTGTAATAGTGAATTAGTCTTCTTAGGATTTGCCTTCTAGGATAACTTTCCATTAGATTTTCAGTTTTCATTAATTCGCATAGATTTGAAAATTAGTACAGGTGTTAAATAAGTCATTACAAATGAAATGTCAAAAGTGCGCATCGATCCGACATATGCGATTGTTTTATTCAAGGTTAGAGGTACAAAACTCTGGTTTTTGTCATTTTTACTAATAATTTTTAATAATTTTTTTCGTTAGAACCGCTGTTTGTAAGATAAAATGATTTAAAAAGTTGAAAAATTTATATACAAAGCGCCATGCGAATTAATGCAAACATACGGCATTTTTAGCTATAATTTGACTTGGTGACATTGATGGGGTATCATCATCTAAAAAAAATTATATATATAAAATATTATACAGAATATTTTTCTTGGAACAATGGATGTTATAACTCAGACAACTGAAAGATTTTTCATAATATCACTTCGCATTGAATTTAAATCGAAATAAACTCTCGATTTGATCTAAATCTAAATTGTTCCACTGACATTTGCATAAGCAATTGCAAATGGCATTTATCGTCGAACTCTCATAAATCTATTACAGTTCTTTCAGAGCACTCTTGGTTGACAATGGACTAATGAAGTAATGGAGTAATAGACGCCTTCGACTATTATTATCCCACTTATTAGTAGATGGGATATGTCTGCAATGATATTGTGAAGAAATGGATGATGTGGACTTTGCAATAAATAAAGACAGAGCTGATGCTATTGTGAATTATTTTTTTAGAATGCATATCTAACAAGTCATTATGCCTTTCCCTTTGCCATCATTTTTCTTTGCTATTATTTTGATTTTTTGATTTTTGCTGTTATTTCTATTTGCAAACTTTTGCAAATTTCATTATTGTGCAGAAAATTTACGACAACTATATATTAAATTTCTATATATTTTCAGGAATCACGTGTTATATACTATGTAAATTCTAAAAAATATGTGGATGTTGAAAATGTATGTGCCTGCTTTAACCATGATAAATAAAGTTGCAAATGGTGCATTTAAATGACAAAAATATAAAACAAATAAAAATTTTAGAAAATAAATAAGACTCTGGCCATTTGCGTCCACTATTCACTACAGGTGATATGACCTGTAGTAGTTGTTGGAATATAGTTGTATTTGAATACTATATATTCATTATACGAATTCATAAATCTATATATATATATATATATATATATATATATATATATGCATATATAAGAAAAAACAACTCATTAGATGTGCTAATTAACATATCTACCTCTCCTATTACCCATCTCGAAAGAGGACACGAGTGAATCTTTTTAGTGTCGATAAATTCCAATGAGTAGGTGATGTTAATTACCATTTAAAAAGATTTACTACAATCTATAAAAGTGCTACTTAACTACTAAATATTTAAGAGAGCAACACTAAAGAATACTTGCAAAAAATTGATAATGTGTTGGAATTAACTAGTCGTGTGTTACTATAATCCATTGTTTTTCACAACTTTTGAATAGTCAAGATAAGGAAAATTAAAATAAAGTTTGAATGTATGTATTGTGTTCCAAATTCGATTACTAGTTTGGTTTAATAAATGTAAGTAACTTAGATTAAGTACAATTTCAAAATAACCAAGACCTTTAATGAACTCCTCAGGTAAGTTATTGCATAATTGGCTGACTGATAACTTCCTTCGAATTGATCAACTATGTAGTACTAATTACAATTAAAAAGGAAAAAAGAAAAATAAAAGACAGAATTATCATAAAATACATGCAGAAGATTTTACTGAAGCTAACTATCATGCCTCGGTCCAAGAACAGCTCTTGAAAATCATATTTACTAAAAAAATATATTTTGAGACCAAATAGAATTTACGATATAGCTAATTAGTACATTTCGCAAAATTATGTCAAATTATTATTACATTTTCAAAAAAAAAAAAACAAGGAAAAATACCTATTGTCAGTAAAAACTCATTCATTATTTTAATTCATACTATTTAATTGTCCTTAGCAAATGGAAGGTTTAGAAGTACAATATAGCTAAGTTGAAAAAGTATATAGTCTTAATCGATGGCTTCTCAGACAGATAAATATTAATTTTGTTCTGAATATTTAATCTCGCAGAAACCTTGTGATTACCATTTTACAAAGTTACAAATGTTGAGCAATAGACTTTTTTCCCAATATATCAGGAACTAATCGTTTTGGCATGTATAAGTCAACACAATGTTCCAAAAATTCCGAAAAAACTAGGTTAATAGCCTATGAACTAATCTAAGGGCACTGGTTCTATAATTAGAAAATTGGAGACATATTTTATAATTTCAAAGCTGCCAAGCGCATACTTGTTCTTAGGATTAATAGCAATTATTGAAGATTTCTTTCACGAATAAAAGAATGAAGCTTTATTCGATTATATTGTTGGCATGAACCATGTTGGTATAAAAATATTGGATCACCTTGAATACTTAATATCTGTTCAGTAACTCCCATCAAAATCAGTAGTATCAATGACAAGATATATTTGTAGTTCAACCAGGACAAGTTGCCCTGATTTGCCCTTCAAAATCCGTGAAAAATCAACGTTTGCCCACGAATATATTATAATATTAATATCCATTATTCATCACGTCACCAATCTCACAAAACAATAACTAAATAATGAATATTTGATCACTCACCGATGGTATTGATGATGCCAGCAGTCCTTCCAGCAGACACTGCCACTCAAGTGCGCGCAGGTACAACAGGTGATACCTCCTCTCCAATCCTCTAATTCCTCGAGGACAATCTCCAGAAGGATTTTCGCTGCTAGTACAAGTTGAATCTAGTTCTTCCTTGGATTTCTCTTCCTTGCCGTAGGCTCTCAACAGTGCACCCACTACGCGACCCTGGGCTGATATCTCGAGCTGCAGATCCTGGAAAAATGGTAAAGGACAGATTAAGAACATGTGATGTAATAAGTAATAGAAAAATTAATACAAAAAATACAAATTACTTTGTGAACACTGTAATTGAAACAAAAATTCTAAGCAATAATAACAATGGCGAGTGCTGCTCAAGATATTTTATTTCTGCTCAAGCAATACTTTTAATTGATCTAATCAACTTATACTTGAAAACTTCTTATTTTTAGAAACACATTTGCACTAGCCAATTCAGCCTTTATCTCCCAAATGATGAATATGCCAATGGTCCACATATACGAAAATACTAAAGACTCTTGAGTTAAGAGGGTTCAACTGCATATAGCTCCTAATTTTCCATGTTATGAATATGAATTTTTGTATCTGTTTTATGTGCTGAACCAAACTTCCTTAGAATACTCCCACATTTTTCTCATTTCTTATAAATCTTATTTCTTTTTATTTCTTAGATAATGCTTTCAAGATGATCAAAACTAAGTTGTAGGTAAAATTATAATAATATGATTTTTTTAAAAATATTTTTTAAAGCGGCAATTTTATACATCTCAGTTATATTCAGAGTTATTTCTAATTTTAAATTAATTAAAACAAAATAACTACGCTAGGTATTATTACTTGATATATAATATTTGAGGACCCAATTTTTATTTACTCCCAATTTTTAATAAAATAGCAATATAGTTTTTTTTTAAATCACATGAGTTGGTAATCACGAACTGCCTAAAAGCTATTTCTTTTACACAATATTAACTTATAAAGCCTAACCTCCAAATAGCACAAATGTCAAAATTAACATTATTATCGTTGTCACTTATGATAACATTATTATTTGACGTTTGTGCCTTTTAGAGGTTAGGTCTTAGAAGTTAATATTGTATAAAAATCTCCATTAAAATTAAATTAAAACAACAAACAGCAATTTAATTTAAGGAAAATTATAGAATAAAACTTTGTGAAGAAAGTAGAAAACCAATATGGAAAATTCTTAACTTTACTTTTAGGATTTTTTAAGCTATTTTATAGTCTCTGCTATTCTCAAAAATTTCAAAATATTTAAGTTTTATAGTTTTGCAAGTAATTATTTAGTGTCCATGTTCATCATCATAATCAGTAAATAGATTGATTTGTTTAATCAGTAAATAGATTGATTGATTTTTGTATCCCTTTTTGGCTAAAATTCTCATCAAGTGTTAGAATTTTCTATAAGGTGGACTATTTTTTTTCTCTTTCAACCTTTAAGAAAATAAGGAATAAAAAGTTTTAGAATTTTTTAACAAATATTCTTCCGAAGTGGCGATAAAGAAAAGAAAATGCGCATAAAATAATCAACTGCATTATATAACTTTATATTTACATTTAGTGATAAAAATTCAAATTATTTGAATTGCTCATTGCCTCATCTCCATATTCACTGCTCCATGAATAATTTCAGAACAGCAGTATTAAAACTATGATTTTTTATTATAATAATAAAGTTTTTTATCGATTATGAAATATGTATTAAATCAGTTCGCTTTCTATTACTAATATTATTTTATATATCATTTTTAATGCATATTTTCAAAAACATATGTCTTGGAAATCATTACAAAATTTCATATAATAACAATAAAAAAAAATTTATTCTTTAGTTTCTTTAGTTCATTTTTCATAAATGGGATATTTTATCACAAATTGTAAAATATTAAACTTTGCAAGACTAACTGAATATATTTCTATTATTGATATTAATAAAAAGACTAACATTATAAATCTTGATCACTTATAACTTTACTCATTTATGTATATTTATTTATACACTATTACTTAAATAAATAAAACTTTTTACATAAATTTTAATTACAATTGCTTGCCAGAAGCACCAATTTTTAAAAAATCTTACACCAAAAATCTGGTGCAGAAAACTCCAATTAATTAGTTACCAATAAAAATATGTGTTCAAATTAAATTTAAATTTTGTTTTCTACTCTTGTATCATTTTATTTATTGTATTTCGAATTCTGAAGTTAAAAACCCAACAAACAAAGAGGAAGTATACACAACAGGCAATCAATTGATTCAATAAAAAAATATTTTAATTTCCCACTAAAACATAAAATCAATCATAAAAGAGTCTTTAACATATTTTAATTCATTATTTTCTGATATCACACCTTAAGTAAATATTAAAGTTTGGTTCAAAGTAATTGCACCATAACCGATTTCTGAGAGTGTTTCAAATCAATTTTTTAAAACTTTTTAAAATAAACTAAAATATTTATTTCAAAATGTATGAAAGACGGTCATAAATAGCCAGGTGTTATATGATACCGTGAAAGTTGAACATTTTTCTTTTCTTGGGAACTAATTTTTATTGTTCGACCTTGCAAGTGCCATTAAGAAAGATGAGGTCGATACTCATATACCATACACCACAAACCGCAGACATTTATAATGTTTTTTATATCAAAAGATGCTTTTTTGTATCAAAAATTTAATATCAAACAATATATATGATACCATAAAATAAGTTATGTATGAACTTAATAAGATTTAGTCAAAGCTGAATTCATATTCTGAATATCTCTAACTATACTGCTAAATTTGAAAGAATAAAATGCAATTTGTAAAAAGATGAATATGTTGATATATATATATATATACATATATAAATTAGTTTCCAGGTTTCTTATTATATCTTTTCCATATATACACCACGATTTTTTTCAAATTTGAATATTGAGTAAAAACAGAAAAAAGTCTTTATAATCTATGATTCTGATTTTTACTATTCAAATCTGAAGAATAAACGCTAATATTTGCACTGAAATTGGTATGTTAATTTACAATATATATTTACAAAGTGTAGTAAGAGAATTTCTTTAATAAATTGAACAATATTTAGTCAAATTTGAATATTTTGTATAAGAAAAAAGAAAACGTTTGTATGAATCTACAATACTAATTTTTACCATTAAGTTTGTTGATAAAATACTAAAATTTGAAAAATGTATATTACATATTTGTAAAGTTGTAGCAAAAACATAAATATGATACGTGAAAATTGTACTTTTAGCTTTTAAAAAATAATTGTTCAAATTGATTAAAAAATAAATAAAACGTCTTCATGGTGCTAATATTTTATTATTAGCATCTAATTTATAGAAATCAAAATTTGAAAAATATAATGCAATATGTAGTAATATTGTTTTAAAAAGACGAACATTGAAATTTAAAATGTCAAATTGAAATGCAATGTAGTAAATAGATAATGTTGAAATGTAGTTGCAAATAGATAAAAATGCTGCCTTAGGGTTTGCAAAGTGACTTGTTCTTGCATTTAACAAGATTTTGTCATAATATTAAGTAAACAAGAAATAAAATATTTTTTATCCTCTACGACGATTACAGTTACAATTAAAATGTAATATTAATTAGCAAACAAATTTGTTAAAATTGAATAATTGACATAGTACTATTAAAATTCTATAGAATTATTAAACTCATTAGAACATTATAACCATTCCCTATGAATCAGTACTAGTCAACATGTGGGAAAAAATAAGATGTAAAAATAGTAAGAAGTAGACAAGTGTCATACAAAGCTATAAACGTTAAAAATATTTATTATCTTGGGATTTTTATCGTTCCAAAACAATATGCCACAAACCGCAGGCTTTTAGAATATTTTTTCATTCACCAAAAGACAAATATGTATACAAATTAATCTTTGGTCTACAGAAGTATTTATCATGTTTAACAAGGTTGATTCACACGCTGTCAAATTATAAATTTGATAAAAAAATGAAAGAAGTACTTATGAAAAATAGTTAACGTTCAAAAATATATAAATTTAAAATTCAATTTGGCACTAATAAAATATGTAATCCATAAATTGTTTAATTGAACAATTTGGTATTCATCATTCTTTAAGCGATTTCTGATTTATTTCTATAGGCCATCCTAAAAAGTTTCATTGAAATTCGACAAAGAAGATCAGAAAAAGTTGATCAGTTCAGAAATAATCATTTTTTTCATGTTGATGTAACATTAAAGAAGCCATTTTTGCTAATTACTGCCTGAATATGATAAAATCTTTAAAGGCTTCTTAAACTTAGGGGTCGCGGGGAAACATTCTGGGATCGCGAGTGATTTTAAAGTCAAATATTTATATCGTTTTAAAAAATCACTTCTTGATTTTTGTATGTTCTGAACTAATTCTTATACTATATAGTTTCATATGTATATGTATATGTGTATTGTTACCAAATATATAAATTTTTTAAAAATATTAATTTATTTTTATATCTGTGGGATCGTCAAAAAACTCGCAAATGTAAATGGGTCACGAAGGACAAAAGTATAAGAAGCCCTGTGCTAAATAAATTTGCAAATAAACATACAAATTAACGTAATTTTTAATTTAAAGTTGAGCTAATAAAATTACGTTTACAACGATAATTTAATTTTCTATGCCAATGGTAAAAAGTTCATATGAAACCTTATAAGTGCTTTGCGTAACAATCATGTGTGTGCCCTCAATCCAAGTTCCACGATTATGACATTCAAATAAATGATCTAATGTCCTATAAATATCATCATTACAAACTATTATATTACATTACAAGCGATAAGATCCATTTTTTCCAAGGCGTCATTACTTATATTACTCAATAGTAAATTATCCTTTACGATACCTATTATTTCCTTAGCTATCATCTATTCAATGCCAATATCTCGATTTTAGCAATGGAGAAGGGAAAATATATAGGTTTACTCAACATTAAGTACAGTAATAACTATTCGTTGATAATATCTTCTCTGTTATGACTTCATTACTGACATGTATTACTTAAAACAATGAACTATTCAAAGTCAATGATGAATATAAGAGGTGCAGCCTGGGTGTATTAAAGGAACCTGTTAGTTAGGAGAATTCAAGATTTTTTGTTGGATAATCCATAAAATAATAGAAACAATTTAGAGAATTGTGTTAAAAGAGAGAAAATTAA